TGGACATATACGATCAATTAGAGTCAACAAATGCAAAAAAGAAAAAAGAAAAAACACATGGAAAAATATTGCTGTACGTGACTTATAATTGAGGTCGTTCAGGGGAGCCAATGGCCCTTGCTCTTCATTGCAGAAGGTGTTCTTTTCAAGCCATGTGTTTCTTCGTATGTGTGGGCTCATTTCTTCCGTGGATGGTAACTTTCCACGACTTATCATTTCAAACCTTACGAAAGGTCTCTGTCTCGCATCAAAGATTCCAGACCTGATCCTGTGCAATTTTCGTATTCTCGTATAGTAAAAATCAATCAATTAAATATTTATTTATAAGATAAAAAACATTATATGAATAAATTTATTTTGAAAAATTTTAGTTAAAAGTTATATATATATATATATATATATATATTGTGGGATGATTGGTGGGATTTTTCAATCGCGACAAAAGCAAGCTTAAAAGAAATCGTCAGTTGCATGACTTAAAAATATTCCATTTGGACCACAACTTTATTAATCTGAACATGGCCCAAAATAAGTAGGACCGATCACCAACTTGGCCACTAAACAATGATTTGTACAGCCCATAACTGGTCTGTGTCATAATTTCCATGGTTCCATCGATACTAATTTTTTTATTACTTATTATCACCGTTTCCAAGTTTCTTCCTAACGTTGCACACAATCATCCAAAATCGAAGCCATCAGCTTTATTGGACTGTTTCTGTACAACACGACTTTTTTTTTTGATAACATGAGTGTCCGGATCAGTTTACGTGCATCTCGATTAATCTCGCGGATCCCGAAGTTAATGATTATGTAAGCGCTTCAGTGGCCATTAAGGAGAGCAATTAGGACTCAAACCCGATATTACAAGAGAAGCAAACCCCTTGATACCAAGTTCTTGCTGCTGTGCCACCCCTGGTGGTTTATATATGACACGACTCTTGGACATAGACCTAATGGTCCCGGCAATCTTTAATTTCTTATCTCCCTGTTCGCCTATGTGACCCCAAAACCTTGTTGTTAGAAACAAGCTAGCTTCCCTATTTTCGTATCTTACCACTCAGAATAAGAAGAAAAAAGGTTCGCAGAACCAATACCAAAATATGGCAACTTCAGCTTCACTTCTTTCAAAATCCCAGCTATCTTCCGACATAGAAACCTCAGATAATCAGGAACAAGACTCCCTAGACGACACCATCGAAAAATACATAGAAGGTTTTGGACCGGCACAATATCTGCAAGTCATCCTTGTGTCATTGGCATTTCTCTTTGATGGACAACAAACATTCATTAGTGACTTTTCTGATGCTGTACCCTCATGGCACTGCACTGATTTCAGTAATCAAACTTGTTACTCCAGCTCCAATTTTTGCAATCTCTCGAAGAGTGAATGGGCCTGGGATGAACCAGAGAGCTCATCCATCGTTTCCGATTGGGCCCTTGAATGTGGCAGTTCAGTTATTGTGGGTTTACCGGCTTCGAGTTACTTTGTGGGCTCCCTAATAGGTGGATTTTCTCTTGCTACGCTTGCTGATTCCTGGCTTGGTAGAAAGAAGTTGCTCTTCCTAACTTGTCTAGGTATGTCAACAATGGCACTTATCACTGCCTTCACCACCAATGTGTGGATGTATTCAGGTTTAAGATTTGCTAGTGGAATTTTTCGTGCATCAATTGGAACGTGTGTTGTTGTGCTATCAACAGAAATGGCTGGGAAAAAATGGGGTGGATTTGTGAGGGTGGTGGGGTTCTTGTTTTTTGCAATAGGAGCACTCTCATTGCCTCCAATAGCTTATTTGAATAGAGGTTCTTCATGGAGATATCTTTATTTTTATACCTCTATTCCAGCCATATTTTACTGTATAATAGCTTATTTCTTTGTTAGTGAGTCTCCAAGATGGCTTTACATGCAAGGACGTGAAGATGAAGCAGTTGCAATTCTGAATAAAATGGTTCCAAACAAAAAAATTAGCAGTTCTATTTTAAAATCTGCCTACAAGCCCCTCGACCCTGAGAAGTGGAATTTCAACATCTATTCGTCGATGAAGAGCTTGTTTGAGAGGAGATGGGCTTTGAAACGGATGCTGGTTGTAATGACTCTTGGTTTTGGCGTTGGAACGGCATACTATGGCATGTTCTTGGGGGTTGGAAGCTTGGGTTTCAACATCTACCTAAGCGTGACACTTACTGCATCCTTAACTATACTTTCTAATCTTTTGATCCCGTTTGTTCTAGAAACATTTAATAGGAGAAGTTCAGTTGTGGCCTTGGGTATTGTAAGTGGGACTTGTTGCATTGTTTGCGCAATAATTGGTGACGAACTAAAGGCTATCCAGATTGTCATGTCTCTAGCATCTGCTTTCAGCTCGTGTGCAGCACTTAACGTGATGCAAATATACACAACAGAGTTGTTCCCTACTTGTGTAAGGATTTCAGCCACATCAATGTTTAGGCAAGCTGTAAACTTCGGTCCCATTTTTGTTCCCCTGTTAGTTTCAGCGGCCAGGAGAAATAATTCTGTAGTTTATGGAGTCTTTGGATCAGTAGTAATATCCTGTATCTTCTTTGTAATTTTTTTGCCAGAGACCAAGGGCTTGTCACTTTCCAATGCCATGTATGAACAAGAAAAGAAGGATAGCATAAACGCGTATGTAAGCTGAATGTAAGCTGATCATAACATTTTTATGGGATTTGGTCATAGTTGATTAAACCCACTGAATATATATATATATATATATATATATATATATATATATATATATAGCATCTAGTTTATTTTTTTAGATCTTGACATAATTATTTAAAAAGTTTTTTGATTACTCAAATATTTAAATTCGAGACTATTTACGTAAATAATTAGAATCATTTTCATTTAAATCAATCTTTTTGAATTGCATGTAGTATGTTTTTAATATCACTTCGGATTAATTTTCTCGACTCTAGCTTGAAAACTATCTTCCACCGTTTGTACTCCTCTATTTTTTGAATTTTTACTCGATGTTACAGTCGTGTAGCTATTTGTTTGGTGACCAAATAAGTAAGCTCAAACATTGGACACTTTAATTAGTAATTGATTAGTAATTAAGTTGGTCCAGAATAGAAAATATATTTTATTGGCAATGCTAATTAATCGTATGATAACGGTAAGAAAATGTCTGGTTCTGTTCTCAACTGCTTGGATAACAATGTTTTTTATGCTTTAAGTATGGCGGAATACAATTCTTAACGCTTTATTCATATGTTCAATTGTCAAATGCAATCAAAAGCGACATCTAATATATTTATGTGGCTTTCGGACCTCTTTAAAAAGAAAAAAATGACACGTTAATATCATTACATTTGAAAAAAGGTTGGATAAACAAAACTCAGCCAGACGGTTCCAAGACGAGCAATCAATATTATCTCTGTTCTGTGAGCCTACATTCAAAAGATTTATGCCTTCTCTTCACCAACCAAAACATCAGAAAAATATACTTATCGGACGAATACATGCTTTCAAGATCACTTTTATCCAATCCAAAACAATCATAACATTATTATGTGTGTTTAATGATGATAAATTATCATTATTAACATTTATCGTCTAAATAAAATAAAAAATTGTTGACACGAAAAGAATGTATGATTTTATCATCTTTTCTGTGTAACTTAACATGTCTCTATACTGTATGAGACTTAGGATAAAGAGTGAGATCTTCAAAACCATTTTTTTAATACTACTATTATTCATTATCTCTTTTATGCTTATATTGTTATATTGTCAAACCATTATTTTTCCTTCGTACACATGATTTAATTATTAAAAGATCTTCTATTTAACTAAAAAGACTTGTTTTATAAATATTTTATTGTCATTTTTTTTTATATATTTACAAATAGTGAGTATTCTCGAATTAATTTTTACATCAATCAAGATCAAGTTCTTCACTTTTTGAGCTAAGCTAACGTTATAACACGCAAGATCTGTCATTACACAAGTTAGAAAAAAAACACCGTAATTTTTCAAGATTTTATAATCTCATCAACATGTTAATTTTTTTTCAACATGACATCTTATGTTTTATTGTTTATCAATTTATTACTTTCAACTTCATTGCATTTTTGTTTCAAAATTTTTTGCGTCGTAACTTATCGATTTGTTTCGTGTTTGGTAAGATTAGAGAGTTGCATCAGACAAACAAATGGTGGTAAGCATCACGTATTAATTAAACAAAATACATCCCCCAAGAACAGCTAACAAGAAATATTAATTTCTTAGCGAAAAAATAATCGTCGTTGCCTATCACATTTAAAGGGCTACCTGCCTTGAAAAAGGAAGTCGTTTCATTTGCAGCTCTTTTTGAAAAAAATTCTCTGAATTCTGAAAAAAGTTACCACATTCATACATTCCAACAAATCTCCACTTTTGAACGTAATTTGATAAATTATTAAAATTAAGATGTTGTGGGAGGGGGCAACAATTTTCTGTTGAAGTTGTTTATGTTCAACCTCCTACTCAAGCTGGCAACCGAAAATCACCATCCTCGTGGTTCTAATTAATTATGAATTCTTCAATCCGTTGTAAGACTAATCTCAATAATGAATGCCATGTGGAATTTGATGCATCGTGCCCTGAACATTCCAGCTTCTGCATTCAAGTTTGCATTTTAAACAATTCTTTATCGTAAATAGCTACATTTTCGAATAAAAAAGGGGGAAATTTATGGCAGGAAAGCTCTAAATAATATGCACTTCTATGTTGTCAAAGATTATAATCACGATGCAGGGATACGCCCTTTCTTTCCAACACACTTCTATTGCATACGCGGTGGGAAAATAAAGGAAATGAAGACCACGATATCCCACGATGCCACTAAAATTTCAGCTTTTAAACCTTAATAATTTGACAGAAACGAGTTCAAGAATCAAGTATAAATGGGCTAAAAGAACAGGGGACTTGAGAACCTATGATATCTCCCTTCAATTTAAAGATCATGAGAAGACATCACGAATAACCAAACATCATGGCAGAGACAACGGTTGTTCCACCTCAATCCGAGTTTGCCGATGCAGAAATTACAAGGCTGGACAACAAACTCCCATCTCTAGATGAGGTTATCGAACATTTGACAGGAGCTTTTGGGAGGACACAGCTCCTTCAGTGCATTCTCGTGTCATTGACACGGGTTTTTGATGGGCAGCAAACTTTCATTAGTGTGTTCACTGATGCAGAGCCAACATGGCATTGCATTGACAATGCCACATGTAAGTCGGACTCTAATTTTTGCAATCTGTCCGCGTCTGAATGGGCTTGGGATGGAACCTCTTCCAAGACAATCATATCAGAATGGTCACTTCAATGTGCCAGTTCTTTTATTAGAGGCTTGCCTGCATCATCCTTTTTCCTGGGCTGCATATTCGGTGGATTTGCTTTAGCTTCCCTCGCTGACGCTTCGCTCGGCCGCAAGAAATTGCTCTTATTATCTTGCATAACCATGTCTTTTACAGCACTTGCCACCATTTTCTCCACCAATATATGGATCTACTCCACTTTGAGATTCATTACCGGGGTTGGTCGGGCATCGATTGGCACGTGCTCTCTTGTGCTGTTGACAGAGAATGTGGGGAAGAGATGGCGAGGACGAGCAAGCATCTTGGGGTTTGTATTTTTCACCTTAGGATACCTATCCTTACCAGCCATTGCTTATATAAACAGAGGTTCTTCATGGAGAGCTCTTTATTTATGCACTTCTATTCCGACGATTCTTTATTGCGCAGTAGTTTATTTTTGCGTCAGCGAGTCTCCCAAATGGCTATTCACGCAGGGGCGTGAGGAAGAAGCACTTGCGATTCTGAAAGGGTTTACTTCAGTGAATGACGGAAGCTTAAGCTTATGCCTATTAAGTGTTCCTATCAAGCAAAATACTATCAGCCATGATCTCTACTCCACATTCAAGGCCATATTAAAGAAAAGACGGGTTCTCCAGCAATTATTAGCTCTTATGGTGATAGGTTTTGGAATTGGAATGGTTTACTTTGGCATGCCTCTAGGGGTTGGAAACATGGGTTTCAATATCTACCTAGGTGCTTTGTTCAATGCCTTATTGGAGGTACCCTCCTACTTTATCACCTTCTTCGTAATTGATAGATGCAATAGGAAGGGTGCTTTGTTAGGATTTTCTATACTTAGTGGGATATTTAGTATACTCTGTTTTGTTGTTGGAGATTTTCGCAAGGAAATCAAAATGGGACTAGAGCTGGCATCTTTGTTTGGAGCATGTATGGCTTATAATGTGTTGCTAATATACACAACAGAGTTGTTTCCCACACGCATAAGGAATTCTGCCACATCTATGGTGAGGCAAGCACTTGCATTTGGTGCAGTGTTTAGCCCGTCATTGATCTCTGCTGGGAAAATTAATGGTTTTCTATCTTATGGAGTCTTTGGGATTGTCATATCACTTTGTGGGTTATTTGCAACTTGCTTGCCTGAAACTCAAGGTTCCATGCTCTATGATACCGTGGATGAACAAGAGGAGAGTGCAACAATCAAGGAGGATAACAGCGCATAATATTAATAAATGCTAATTCTATACTGGCATCTTTGACAAACCTATATTTATTTTTGGAAGCTTTTTATGTTTCGGTCAAATTATTAAATGAATTTGTTGGGTTTTTGATACAGGTTAATGGCATAATTCATTTGTCTGTTTTTGATATTTTCTTAATGTGATTTTTCTATTTTTTTATTTATTTATCACGTTCTTTTATTTTAAATAAACATTTTTAATAGATATGATTTTTCCAATGAAATTTTATTTAATTTTTAAATAACTATTAACAAATGATGTTTTACGTCAGACATAAATGTCACGTCAAATAACAAGTCATATGAAATTATCACGTGATAAAAAAAATTATATTAAAAAATATAGAATAGAATGATGTAATAAAAATATAATAGAAAGACTATATTAAAAAAATTAACAAAATGTAAAAAAAAAATTATGCTATTAATTTTTTTTATATGTACAACTTTTTCTGTTTTGGAGATGTTCGCATAAAGGATTCTCTTTTCACTTGTTTGTTTGATAAAAATGAATAGAATGATAATTATGTGAATAAGGTTTTATTTTCGCTTTATAGATGCTTGATTGAAAGGAACAAAGTAGAAAAAAATAAAAATTAAACGTAATTTCATTGTCATGAAGAGAGGAAAGAATAAAAATAAGAAATGAATTTTTTTTTAAAAAAAATAATGATATATTATTTGTATTTATTGTTTATTAATTATTTTTATCATATCACTACATTCACCTTCACTACCACCATCGTTCCACACGATGGTGATAAAATAAAGCTATTATTATTATTATTATTTAATCACTACTCATCTTCAACTACTATCATTACTTTTATTATATCATCATCGTTCCACACGATGGTGATAAAATAAAATTCAAAAATTATTATTATTATAATTATTATTCTGTCACTATTTTTTTTCATCACCACCTTCACTTTTATTATATCACTACAATAACTCTTTTTTGGCTTCAACCTCTATCTAGTATTAATTTTTTAAAATATATTATTGTTATTACTACTACATCTTCCCCATTCTCCTCCTACTCTACCACCACCACCACGATCACCATAATAATCTCTATCATTTTTATCATCATTATAATTAATTGATAAAAATATTTTTTAATCATTTTTTATTTATCTTAAGAGTTGGATATTAAAATTTTAAATTTTATTCTAATTTATTATTATTATTATTTCAAACACAATATGTAAATGCAAATACTATTTTGATTTTCAAAATTTTCAATCTAATTCCTACTTTTCTATTTCAGATTATTTATTTTTGGTTACCAAAGGACGACTAAATAACATAGAATAAGCTTCTTGAATTTCACTCCTAATCTATATAGTATATTAATAGCACATTATTTGGCCTAAAACTCTAAAGATGCTTTAAAAGAAAAAAGAAAAAAAAAAAAAAAAACTAACAATATTAAAATCTAAAAAAATAAAATTACATCAAGATTCATCAAATTATTAAATTAGATCCTTATTTTTTATATATATAGATTTTTCTTTTTTTTATTGACTTATATTTTTTTTCATTAGGAGAAAATTATCCACAAAATTTTTATTATTTATTTTGACAAATTACATATATATATATATATATATATATATATATAGTTTAATAATTTTTTTCATTCATGCCTTTTCTTTTACAAATAAAAAGTTTGATTTTAATTCCATATTATCCTACTTAAAGTTAGTAGAATGCTAAATAAAGCTTTTGTTTACAAAATGCACTTAACATATTCATACAATATAAATAGAATATTATAATAAACAATGAAACTCTTGTTATTTTTTTTATTTCTTCTAGTTTTGCAAGAAAGACTTGAAATTTTTTTATAACAACATATGATACGAAAAAAATATTTTTAATTTATAAATATTTTGATAAATAAGTTGGTGCAAATACTTTAATGATTATTAATTTCAAGAGATATAATTATAAACAACCATACAATTGCATCCAACACACACACACACACACACATATATATATATACTAACTACTAACTATTTTATGTCTATAGTATTTATTTCAATGCAATCGTAATTTATTTACATGTTTTAACAATCAATAAATTAATTTAATTACAAATTATCAAGCCTTATATAAAATTATTCAGATTTTAAAAATCATAAATACATTTTAATTTAATAAATGCTAAAAATATTTACTTATAAATAATTCAAAATAACCTATTGGTGATTATAAAAAATATCATTTAATACTTCAAAAAAAATTATTTAGTAGTTGAATCATACAAGTGCAGATACAGTCGTTTTTATCAAAAAAGAATAATACACATGCAGAGCACATTTAAATAACGTAGTAATTAAAAAAAAAAAAAAGAACTTACTTGTACCAGCATTTTTATTAAATGAATTATTGAAGATGAAAAAAAATTAGTTAGCTTAGTCAATTAAAATTTTCAATATATGCAGATTTAAGAAAATAGTGATGTAGAATTTGTAATCCAACAAAAAAATTTCCAAAAAAAGCATTTATTAACTTTCAGTAACACAAAATCACATTAAAAAAAACTCCAACAAAAAAATATATTATATTTAATTGTATTTATAAAATGAGAATAAAAATCAAATGAGAAATCTAAAAAAAATTATTAAAAAGGATACATACACACGTATAAAGAATACAGCTAAATTTACCACCAAAATTATTGTTGATTACACCACTTGTTTTCTTAAAATTACCAATACATCTTTTATATACATCCTGTCAAGTGTCGATGTTTCGTTATATTATAATTAGATATATTAAATATCCAAAACGTCCATCTACTTTTACGTGTAACACAAACACATAACACAAAGGTTTTACGGTCGATGCTTATACAAATTGTGAACCAACAAGAAGAAAAAGAAGAATTCAAAGGTTTAATTGAGTAGACAGATTTCTATTCTAATTTGGAATTGTCCAAGTTCAATGAACCTTAAATATAGATGGTATGTCTCGTCTTTTTTTCAATCGATCACCTTTTTACCTTTGTTTTTACTTTTGTTTTTTGTTTTTTTGTTTTTTTTAAAAAAACTCACGTATTCAAATCTCATAATAGAATTAGTTTATTAAAATTTAAATTCGTAATCACTTAATATAAAAAAATACTATCGTTGGACTATAAGACACTTGGTTATTTCTTTTATCTTTGTTGTAGTTAACCAATCCATTGAAGAGGTCATTTTTTATAACTTCTTTGTTTTCTTTTGGAGTGGTTGGTAGGGATATTCTGTTGCTAGTCAGTATGGCCAGTATTTTCTCAAGGAATTGTTGGGATCAGAAGAACTGAATCTGACTAGAGAATTTTTAGACTTGTTGAAACAAAAAAGGAAGTACCTGAATCTGTTGTATGTTGGTAAGGCAAAGAAAACAGAATAACCAGGTCTATTTTTCTAGCCTGATATGCGTTTTTTTGGTATAGATGCTTTTTTTCTAGATTTATTTGATTAAAAGTCAATTCCAAGCTTATCAAAAATTTTCTTCATAAATATATAAATTATTTCTCTACATGTTATATTTTCTTATTCAATTTTATGATTTGGCTATGCTATAATTTTTATTGATTTTGTTTCCATCCTTTAAGAACATGAACAAGTACTTGTGGTTTGTTGTAGTATGCATGTTAGTAGTTGGGCGCATATGGCGAAATGTTTCGCAGCTGGCTATTATTGAAAGTCTCGAGATGATGTGTTTTTTTTTTTTTTTTCCACTAACGTGCAAGACTGTGTTTTGTTTTGTTCTTTGATTTGTTCATGACTTTTATAGAGACGTTATGAATTTTGATGGAGAAAATATCAACAATGTGGTATTAGAAGCAAGTTATCCTCTTGCTTAAGTGGATTCTAGTACTTACATGTACACCTCACAAGTTGTGTATGTAACTAATTATCTGTTTTGTTAATTAATCAGTTTAGCTAGTTAGAAAGGTTGTTAGCTTTGTTGGTCAGCTAAGTTTGGAGTAACACTAGTTAGTTGAGAATTTTAACTTTGCTTCTCTTCTATGGTATAAGAAGTAAGAAACAAATGGTAAATGAATATGTGTAATTTCTATTTTGATGAAATGAGAAGAGGTGGATTTGTTCTCTCTCTCACAATCAAACTTCGTATCAGAGCATAAAAATTAGGTTTCATTTCTTCTTATTCTTGAAATTCATCAATGGTGGATTCTACTTCTAATCTTTCAATAAAAAATTGCAATCTCCTTTTTCATCTTTATCACAGAGATAATCACACAATTGTGTTTATTTCTCCTCTCGTTAACTTTGAGCAATTATGCATCTTGGAGCCATTGGCTTCTGCTTGCATTATCAATTCGCAACAAAACTTATTTGTTAATGGAACAATTGCAACGCTAGCTACAAACAATGCAATGTTTGGTTTATGGTAACGATGCAATAACCTTATCGTTTCTTGACTTCTTCGTTCAATCTCTTTTTTAATTATTGTAACTATCTTTTACATGGATTTAGTTGCGGAAATTTGAAAGGTACTTAAGAAGTGTATTTCTCGAATAAATGAATCTAAAATTTGCAATTTGCATCATGCTTTATGTGTCATTAACCAAGGCGAGTCAAAATGTTGATGAGTATTTCATTGAGTTAAATTCTATTTGGGAGAAAATAAAAAGTTTTAGGCCTTTGTCTCATTGTGAGTGTGAAAAATGTAGCTTAGAGTGCTTTAGAAAATTCATTGATTTACAACAAAAGTGTAATAACCCCATTTTGACCCTCGCTTACTTTCATACAAATTAAAATTCAAAAAAAAGAAGAAGAAATTCAAAAATTCAAAAAAAAAATGGAATGTTGCATAGTTTGTTCTTTTTCATGATTTTTAGGTATTTTTTAAAATTTTTAAGATTTTAATTATTCCTCGTTTTTAATTAAAAAAATATAATAACTATAATAATAAAATGAGAAGATAATTTATCTCCAAGCCTTAAAAATTCATGAATAA